TTTTTTTTTTTTTTCCCATGTGTCCTCTTTGCTGACAAGAAACCCCGCCGGTCTCCAGGTGAAAATGTTGGAAACTCGATGTAGAAAGATCTGCTTTAAAATCTTCAGGCTAAAAAAATAGGCGAGGTGGATGGGGGGGTCGCGGGCGGAGGACACGGACGCCACTTTTCCAAGTCCGAGCGGCCGGGAGGGCGCGATGCCGGGGCACCGTCCCGGTCCCCGCTGTGCCGGAGAGCCCCTCCCCGCACCCCGACTCTTCTTTGGCTGCGGCCGGTGGGGAGAGCGGGGCGGCACCGTGGGGGGACGTGGCTGCCGCTCCACCGGGCCGGGGAGGGGAATGGAGATGGAAGTTGAAAGAAAAGAGAGCTGGCGGGGGCGGCCAGGGGGCTAAAGGCAGGCGGCCGGGGGCAGTGGGTGCCGGCTGGTGCTGGAGTAGAGGAGCAGCAGCTGCAGGGAGAGCAGGACCCCCAGGGAGGGGGAGAAGGAAGCCCCTCGGCCGCAGTCTGAGGTATCTTCCTGCGTGGGCAGAGAGAGAGAGGGGCCGTGGGGCACCCACAGCAGTGCCTCGGCACCCCAGGCACCCACCGCCCTGGCAGGGACATCCACCAGCCCTCTGCAGCCCTGGGAGCCTCCTGCCCCACGGCACGGCCCCCGGAATGAGCCCTGGTGCTGCTGTCCCTTGGCTCTGCTCTCCCCAAAGGAGGGCACTCCACGGCATTGCTCTGGGACCGACACAGCTCTGACCTTCCCGGGAATAGCCCAGGGCTCCTGAGCCCTCCCCCCAACCCTCCAGGGCTCCAAACCCCAATCAGAAGGGTCTCCTGACAGCACTGCACCCCCGGGGATCCCCTCATGGCTCTGCTCCCCCGGGGGGGACACTCACCTTTCCATTCCCCCCCCGGGGTGAACCCCTCTGCTCCCTGGGATCCCCCCACGGCTCCACTGCCCTGCTCAGAGGAACCCACTGCCCAAATTTCCCCCACAGGGAACCCACCCGTGGCTCTGCTCCCCGCACCAGAGGATCCCCACTGCCCCCCGCCCTTCTCGGGGGACACTCCCAGCTCTGCTCCCCCTGCACCCCACGTACTGTTGCATTGTAGTCGAAGCAGATGTGGGGGCCTTTCCGGTAGCGGGGCCGGTCCACCAGCTCACACTGGTTGGGGTCCCTCGGGGGGGCTTTGCAGGTCAAGGAAACCACCAGGGACAGGGCAGTGGGGGCTTGTAGGGCACCCCCAGCCCCTTTGGCCCCAGGCCAGCTCCCCCCACCCCTGCCAAACTCCACAGGTCCTTGCCCCCCACCTGTCCCGCAGATCCCCCATCCTGCTGCCACCACATCCCAGTGGGATGCAGCTGAGACATCAAAGGATACCTCTTACCTCTGCCTGCAGCAGCTTGACAGACTCACACTGACTGCAGATGGGCTTGTCAGCCACCACGAAGAGCAGGTTGGTGTTGGCCAATCTCTGTGCATGGAAGAGCCTGGGGGTRCATGGCAGCAGGACCCCAATCATGCCGTGCCCCAATCCCCCCCAGGCCCAGTGCCAGCCCTGCTGGCGTGAGGCTCTGGGGAGGTTGAACCAGCAGCACCCCCCAGACCCAATTTCATGACTGTTCTTATCCTCATCCCCATCCCTGTCCCCAACCTCATCCGTACCCCCATTCCTTGCCCTGGTGTCCATCCCTACCCTCACCCCCTTCCCTCTCCATCCCCACCCTGAGGGGCTTCCAGGGCTCGGTCCCATGCAGAGGAGGGCTGGGGACATCATCACCCACAGCCTATGAGGACCCTACTGTTCCACAGACCCCCTGAATGCTCCTATTGCCCCCACACAGGCAAAGGCAGCCTCGGGGGTGTCCCCAGCCCCRCCCAGGGGTGGGACAGCGGGGACGGACCCACCTGGAGCAGTTGCCGCAGTCGATGATGGCGTTGTAGGTGGCATTGACGGTGCTGAAGTAGTACTGGGTCTGCTTCATGATGCAGCTTGTCTCCCTGGCCTCCATGCCATCTGCTGCCACCTCCTCTGTGCCAGCACAGCGCTGTGGGCCAAGGGCCACCAACCCCAGCCCCAGCCCCTGCCCGCCCCCACCCACAGCTCCCCAGGGACTCACCCGTCTGGAACCAGCTGCTGTAGGTGAGGCCGTACAGGAACTGCTGGAACAGGGACCTGGGCAAGGGAAGCATGGCCATGCCAGGGGTCCCAGCCACCAGGACACCCCAGTGTCACTCCCCAGTGGAAATGGCCCCAGGGAGGGCACATGGCAGGACTTACCAGGCTGCRGCTGAGGTCCACCAGGCAAGGCTCAGGAGATCGGCCACAGTGGGCTGTGGGCAGAGAGYGGGCAGTGAGCCAGCAGATCCCTGTGAGGGACACTGGGGACACACTGCCAGGTCCCTGAGCTCCCAGAMTGGCTGGAATGCACCCTCCCTGAGGATGCTCACCACAAAGACACCGCGGGGCGCAGCGCCCGTGTTGCTGGGGGCCTCAGGGGCACAGACAGACTGGAAGTCATAGGACTCCTTGCGGGTGTAGAAGGAGTTGTTGTAGAGGGCGGACATCAGGTTGGCATCCACCTCGCTGAAGAACTTGCCCACCTGCAATGGGGACACTGAATCTGCACCCAAATGCCACCTCGACGTGGGACTCCCCTGGAGGGGACTTGGGTGGGGCTGTGTCACACCCCCCATGACACGAGCTGAAGGGTCTCAGCTCCCCGCTGGCATCAGGAGAGCTGCGGGCACYGCTCACCTGGTACCAGTGATCCTCCTGGTTGGAGAGCACCAGGAAGCCCCCATCATCGATCAGGACACAGATGAGGTCCTGGAGAAGGAGGGCACTGTCATCCAACCCTGGCCATGCCCAGGGCAAGGCAGGACCAGCAGGGTGGGGGGTGGCAGGCTGTCAGGCAGGGAGGCCAGCACAGTGTCCCCGAGCATCTCAGCACCGGGGAGCACCCGTGTTTGGTGGAGGGAGCAGGCAGGAGACACCTCCCACCCTGGGGGGTTTAACAGCCCCCCAGGATCTTCTTCTTCTCAGGAAGATCCRCAGCCCATGGGACAACCCTGGGTCTTCAACCCTGTGAGGTGGGCTGGGTATGGCTGAGCTTCGGGAGAAGCAGGGGACAGGGACCCCTCCCAGCCATTCCCAGCCATTCCCAACTCCCCCACCCCTGCCCACCACCTACCTTGTTGTTGGCCTCACAGTCCATCTCACAGCTGCTTGAGGGGTCACACTGTCAACCAAAAGCAGGGAGGAGGAACAGGTTAACAGGATAGTCAACCCCCCAGGATGGTCATCCCCTGGCCAGGAGGGGACATGCAGGGTGGGGTCCCAGGGGTTGGGGACAGGTACAGGGACCTGAGGAACAAGCCCGGGTGACCACAGGCCCCACGTCCCAGCAGTGCCCCCAGCGAGCAGAGTTCCCTCCCTGTCCCATCCCACCCCTGCTCCCGGGCTGTGCCAGCCCCCAGCACGTACTCGGCGGGTGCCCAGCTGGTCACGGTCCGTCCGGTTGCTCGCCAGCACTTTGAACTTCTCAGCCCAGGCCTCCAGGTCCAGCTTCACCCCSACCACTGGGGCAGTGGGGAGATGGGGTGAGCCTGGCACGGGGGGGGTTACAAGGACCCCCCAACCTGGTGCCAGAGCACCCAGCCCGCTGCCTACCTGCAGGTTTCAGGGTCTTGCCCTCGATGCTGAGCTCCACGGCAGTGCTCACCAGGATCCCGATGGTGTTGTTCTCCAGGTCCAGCCCCCGGTAGCCGGCTGTGGAAGGCAGGGGTAACATCAGGGGACACTCGGAGCCAGAGGCAGCCTGGGTCACACCCTGTCACCMTGAGCTGGCACCCACCATCCCGGTAGGGTGGCTTGAAGATGTAGCCCTTGTTGTCCAGGCTCCTCCGGTAGAAGCTGGCGTTGAARGGCTCCGGTTCCTCCTCCCAGTCATCCGCAGCCCTGGCRGGGARCAGCCRCAGYCATGACTGTYACTGTCACTGTCATGTCCAGTCCCACCAGAGATGGCCCAGCAGGAGCARACATGGCACTGTGCAGGGTGGACACTCACTTGTTGGGGAAGACACGGGTGATGCCGCCATCGGTGGCTGCGAAGACAGCCAAGAGGCTGTACCTGCAGGGAGAGGGGCCAGGTACATACACCAGCCATCAGCAGGGTTTTGCTCTCCACAGCCCATCCCAATCCTCCTCTGTACCAAGGCAGTGCTGCCCATCCTGGGCCATCACCCTCCACCTACGTGTTKAGATCCTGGTCCTTCCAGACCTTGTCCACCAGCTGCTGCGTGATGCCSGTGTCCAGGATCAGGTTGTGCAGGAGGAAGTTGTCGCCTTGGGAGGAAGGTGGAGAGGAGGAGGAGGTGAGGGCTGGTTCCACAGGGGCCACCCATGTCCCCTGCCCTGCCCCAGCACCCACTCTGCAGCAGCTCCCAGGACCCCAAACCCACCATAGTTCACCCCCTGCTCCACCTTCCCCTGGATCCCCATCCACCCCCAACCCCCAGCAGACCCCCACCCAGCAGCCATCCCATCTACTCACACTGCTTGGAGTCTGGGGTCACCTTTTCCATGAGGGCAATAAAGTTTTCCAGGAATTCGGTGTTGTTATCCGATAAGTCGAGGTCTTTGCAATACTCTCTGGGGTTTGGGGGACAAGGTTTGTCGTTCGTGGGGATGGAAAAGGTAAGGTCAGTTCTCTCCCGGGGACGGCAGGGTGGGTACTGGCCGTGCTGCCAGCACCCAGGCTTGCCAGAGACACAATGGTGGTGATGTGCCACCTCTCCTGGGAGTGTCACCCTGCCAGGGCAACTGTCTGTGGGCATCTCTGCCCGGTACCCAGGCCCTGCCGCCTGCAGTGCCAACAGAGCAGTGTCACACCAGTCACCGCATCTGTCACTGCTGTGGGCACTGAGGTGTCATCACCTCTGCCAGGGCCAGCTTTGATGGACCCCGGTTTGTTCTGAGTGGTACAACACCGAGTCCATCTCTCCCCATCCTGGTGGGACTGGGTGCCTCTGACCATACTTACCTGTGGGCCCAGGTGGGTATYGCTGTGCCCACCCTGCCCTGCCCCTGTGGCACCCCAGGGATGGGGGCTTCGTTGTGGGTGTGAGAAGGGATTTGCCTCGGGAGCTCTACAGCTGCACTGGCAGCACCAAGGCTGTACCTGTGCCCTTTGCACAGGTGGCTGGGTGCTGGCTGAGCCCCAGCTGGTGGAGATGGGTGCTCGCCCATGGGCATCACTGGCCCCAAGCCCCTCCTGGGATGGGTGGCGTGTCCCTGCTTCAGTCTGGAACACCCTGAGTGCGGAGTCCCAGCCCCACCRATGCCAGGGACAGCTGTAACCTGTTGGTCACCATGAGGCTCTGACTGGGTGGCACAGGTTAGTGCCACATCAGGGTGCCAAGAGCCTCCCATCCTCAGCGGTGTGGCTGTGAACAGTGTGGGGTGCTCAGGGCTCCCCCCACTCACAGCCCCTCCACCACGCTCCTGACTCTGCCAAAAACCTCATTAAGAGGACAAATGTTGGAGCAAAGGGTGGCAGGGAGCATGCCCACAGGGCAGCTGAAAAGGGTGGGACACCCTGGCCACCTGGCACACCCCGGCCCGGCCCCTCAAGCCCTGGTCAGGAGGGAGCGGTCACCTACAGATCTCCACCAACACGCACAGATACAGGTACTCACACACCCACGGGGGACGGGGGATATACGGTTTCTGAAAATTTCCAGCGGCTCATGGGCGTGGCAGCGCCGACAGCAGATCATACAGTCGCCCTGGGTGCCGGGCACGCCCCGGCACACGGCCCTCGCTGCCCTCTGCCCGTGCCAGGCAGCACCCACGGCAGCAAGGTGCTCGTGGAGCTGCTCTGGGGACACCAAAGGGCTCGCCCTGATTTTCACAGCTCGCTGTTTTCTGCAGCTGCACTGTGCAGAGCCGTACACGGGACGCTGAGCCCATCCCTGCAGCCTGAGCAGGACACGCCTTGGGCTGGGGCATCACCCTCCTCCCTATCCATCCTCTCAGCGTGCTTACAGGCCAATTTTCAGCAACAGAGTTTTCCTGTTTCTCATTCATACTCTGCTTTGGCTCCCATGTGTCCTGGACCTCACCCCCACTGCCCAGTACATAACCTGGGGACTAAGCTCCCCCAGAAGCCGGGGCAGCACAATGACTCTACATTTCGGGTGGTTTACCCAGAGTTAGTGTAAGTGGGGGACAAGCTGCTGTGGGCTGGGCAGGTGGGGGGTACCCGCAGTACCTGGCCCTGTTGTACCTCAACCCACTGCACTCCCCAAGAGCTGAACCGGCAAAACACCCCCTAACAAGACGTTTAACTACTCTAATGACCCATCAGCAGATAGATGATTAGCTAGTGATGTTAATTAGAGCTGCTCAGAGATTGCACTGTAGTAGCAGGAAGGGCAGGGTGCTGGCAGAGCCACGGAGCTCCCCAAACACCGCACTGAGGGATGGTCCTTCATCCCTGCCACCCGCAAGACTGGGCGGCACGGTCCAGGGAGGGCACAGATGGGAGGGCACAGATCTGTCTGCCCAGTGGCCGCTACGCTGTCCTCATGCCCCCAAATCCCCCGGCATCCCAAATTTGAGCCGAAACCTCCCCTTCCCCCCCCTTCCCCCYGCAGCCAGCACGACTGTATGATGCCGCCGGCGGCCCCTCGCTCGGCAGGATTTTCAGAAACTATACCTATATATGCACGCGCAGAGGTCGGGCTGCACCGGGTGCATATATACCGTGCTGGATGAACCGGGTGGCGCGGCGGGGCCGGGATCCCGGCGGCAGCCCCGCGGCCGAGCGGGCACACGACACACACAGCCACAGGGCACGGGGAGCGGGGACAAGGCACGATGAGGCGGGCATGGGGCATGGGGGGCGGCAGCGGGGCCGGGGCGGATGCACACCTCGGCAAGCGCACACGCAAAGCTACCTGGGAGCAATGAACACATGTCCCTCCGACTCAAAGCTGTTGGGCAGCAGGGATTCAAAATCTGCAACAGAAAGGGAAGGTTATCCGGCGGGGAGCGGGGACGGGGGCGCCGCGGGCCAGGAGGGAGAGAGACGGACAGAGAGAGAGAGAGGGGAGGGAACCAAAAATAAAAAAAAAAGAAAAAAGGTATTTGCTGCTCTTGGTAACAAGAGAGGAAGGAAAAGGCCGTTCTGCTGTTGCTGGCACCGCACGGGAAGGAAGGTTAGAGCCAAATCAGGAGAGGTTTGCCCATCTCGGCTCGAATTTGCTCGGTCGCGGGCTGAAGGCGCACGGTTGCGTACGCACGGCCGGCGGCGGGTACGCAGGGACACACAGACACACACACATATATATATGTGCGCACATGTATATATATATGCATGTTTGGGAGGGCGGGGACGTCTCTCTCTCGGGGAAGGGGTGGTGGGCGAGGGCGGGGAACCACATGCTGCGCTCCTGGCCGGAGGAGGATCACCAGAACACTCGGTTGTCGGGAGAAAAAATAAAAGTTTTCAGGCATCAACATGGCCAGAGGGGAACCTTGCCGAGGACAGTCCAACCAGAGGCTCCCGCCCTGCTGCAGGGCCGTGCAATGCGCTGACGGGCTCTGCTGCCGGGCACCGGTGCCCCCTCCCTCCCCGGGGCGGTGGGACCCCCGTGGGGACAGGGACCCGCACTCGCCCGCCAGCACACTCTGCTTTAACGGGGGTGCAGTCCAGCAGGTGTGGGGTGTCCCTGGGAATGCCCCGGCAGAGGAGACGGAAGATGCAGGGTTCAGCTCGCAGTGGCGAGCCGGGTCAGRGGGTGCATGGAGGGGAGCTACTGGACACCCCGGGGACAACATTCCCCACTCCCATAGCACGGGCACCGCCACTCCCTTGCCCTCCCGCCAGCTCCTGGTGCATTGCACGGCACAGCCAGAGGTTGGACTGTTGCTCTCTGAGGGCTGGAGGCAGGGGCTGGGTACAAGCCGATGAGAGGAAGAAGAGGAGGAGGAGGAGAGGAGTACAAAACACTCGTACTTGGTCCATCAGCATTGCCATCACAGGGGCGCTGGGAGGAGGCAACTCAAGGCTGATAGAACAGGGCTGACACTTCCCCACTGTCCTGCTCCCCTGGCCCTGTCCCCCATGTCCCCTCCTGTGCTGCAGTGTCCCCCCAGCCATTCCCCTGCCTGTGCCGAGGAGCGGGTGCTGCTGGGTGCTGGGTGCGGTGTGCCGGGTGTCCCCTGGCCCCCTGTGGGGCGGTATGAGAGCTGTGGGTTCAGTCTCAGGGGCCCCTCAGGGCCAAATCCTGCTCTATGTCACATGGGTGATGTCCCACTCCACTGCAGGGGGTATCGATTTTGGCACCTTGGCCTGCCTTGGTGGGACTTTGGGCTCACACTTGGCTGCTYCCAGGGGCACAGACAGCACTGGATGTGCCAGAGGATTCATGCCATGCTGGTCCCCAGGGCAGGCAGTGCAGCACCCCTGGGCTCAGCTGTCCCACATACCCACGGGGCCAGGCTCACTGCTGGCTTTTGCACTGGGAGGCACTGCCCCAGGCGGTCCCATGCCAATCTCTGCAGAGGGCTCCTGCTTGGGGGCTTTCCCCAAAAACCCTGTCCCAGAGGCTGATGGCAGCGGAGGATTGGACCCCCATCCCTGCCCCCTTTGGGTCTCACCCCACAGCCCCCCGCTCCCTGCACAGCCCTATCCCTTTCAGGTTGAGTTGTCTTGGGGAGGAGGAAGCAGAGGAGCCAGGAGAGGGGGAGAAGGAGCCGGAGGAGACGAGCGGGAGAAGAGGAGCAAGAAGGGGCAGCACTGGGGAGGAAGAGCAGGGCATCCAACTAGCTACAAAAACCTCGTGGATCGAAAACGGCAGTTTCATACGAGATCGGCTCTCGAACGATATCGAACCAGGTTTGGGAGTGATGCGCAGGGAGGGAGTGGGGATTTTCGTGACAAAGCTCTCATGAACAGAACAAGACATGTTGCTTTCAAATAAAGGGGGAACTGGAGGAGAGGAGGAGGAGGAAGAGGAGAAGGAGAAGGGAGGAAGGGCGAGTTGGTGGCGGTTTGCAGGTTCGGCGTGGCAAACGGGCAGGGAGATGGGCAAGCAGGGGGCTGGGGGGGACTGGACACGGGGCAGGGGGCGGGGTGGTGAAGGTGAGTGGTCTGAGACTGAAAATACTTGCCCTTCATTTTGATGTTTGGTACTGTGTGAATCCACCATAGAGAGAAAGCAAGAAAAACAACAAACAAAAAACAACAAACAAAAAAAAAAGGGGTTGGGTGGAAAGGGGGAAGGGGGGCACAAACAATATTTTATTCAATCGACGTTTGAATAAAAATATTGTGTATTATAATCATACCAAAAGGAAACCTCTTGCAAAAAACGACATGAAGAAAAGAAAACRAAAGAAAAACCCAGTAACAAAAGGAAAAGAAAAAGCCACGGTGAAATAAGAACAAAAAATATGCAAAGATATAACTAGAGAAATATATAGATATATATTCAATACTCCAAAGGAAAATGAGAATCAGTAGCAAACAGTTGCAACAGTCTTGATATCAAAATGTCCTCACTGAGTCAGGGGGCATGCACGGCACAGTGGGCAGAGCTGGGGAGGACGGGGGGATCCCCCCTCCCGGGGATGGGGACAGCCTGGCCTCGTCCCCACAGGAACAGGGGGCTCTGTGGATGGAGGGGGTGGGGGCCAGGTCCAAAGTGGGGCTGGGGTCGGGCCACTGGGGYGGCCGAGGGGGAGAAACGGGGAACCGGAGGGGAGAGGGAAGGGTCCGGTTCTCCCATGGGGGAGAGGGTCCCTGGGAGCAGCGTGGACCTGAGGTGGGGAAAAGGCTTGGGGGTCAGGGGAGAGAGAAAGAGAGAGAAAGTGGGGGCCAGGCTAACACACACGTACACAGATTAATTCCAAACAAAAAGTCGAAACCAACCGAAACCGAACTCATAAAAAGAATAAATGGCTTAAACCGAAACCAAAGTATCGTAATAAACCAAAGGAAATTAAAGAGATCCATGCAAACTTCCCCAGGCTCATGAATTAACTGGCTGCTASAGCGCCATCCCTCGTCCCCGGGAGGCGAGCAGGCAGCACCTCCCGGCAGTGCCTGCCTGCAGCCCCGGGCTGGGCTTTTGGGGTGCAGGGTAAGGACCAAACCCCGGCCCACCGGGGCACCCCAGGCAGGCAGCTCACTTGCCCTCTCGGAGCTCACCTCTACTCACGCCTCCCTTAGCGTTAGTTTTTATTTTGCCTCTCACAGTGATCCCTATAACTTTCACAAGTCTTTGCTTCRTGTTTCTACCCCCGACAGGCGCGGGCTGGCACGGGGTGAGGGGGAGTGCGAGAGGGCGGCAGGGAGGGCCAGGGGCTACTTACACTTCACTTGCAGGATCTGGTCGCTGAGGTTGGCCTGGATGTAGTAGGTACTGTAGGGGGGCAGAACCAGCCCCAGGCTGTGGASAGGGAGAGCAGACACCTGGTGTAAGGCTTTATGCCCACCCAGAATGCACGGCCAGCTCCCAGTCCCTCCCTGGCAGCAGCTTGACCCAGGTGATGGTAGGCAGCAGCCCCACTGGCTTCCTGCACAGCCTGCTGCATCCTTCTCTCCAGGAACTGCAGCCAGCGCTGTTCTGAGGCATCCAGAGTCATCCCCAGAGCACCCAGGGCCATCCTGGGGTATCCAGGGTCATCCCAGAGCACCCAGAGCCATCCTGGGCTATCCAGGGTCATGCCCAGAGCACCCAGAGCCATCCTGGGCTATCCAGTCATCCCCAGAGCACCCAGGGCCATCCTGGGGCATCCAGGGTCATGCCCAGAGCATCCAGGGCCATCTTGGGCTATCCAGGGTCATCCCCAGAGCACCCAGAGCCATCCTGGGGTATCCAGGGTCATGCCCAGAGCATCCAGGGCTGTCCTGAGGGCACCCATGAGCACTGAAGTTGGCACATCTGCCCAAACAGGGCTGAGGTGGGCAGGATGTGCCAGCCCAGCAACCAAGGGAGATGCATGTGGAAGAGGAACACGACATCTCTGTGAGGGAGGAAGGCARGAAGAGACACAGCCCTTGAAAAATGGGACAGAGCCTTCCCAGAGAGGAGAGACCAATKACAACCATTATACAGGCACTAGGAACCAGATAAACCAGGAAGGGGAGGGATCCACCAGCCAGGRGTCTGGCGTGAAGGGTGTGGGACAGGGGTGGGAAGGGAGATGGCAGCAGGTAGTGCTGGGGCTGCTGAACCCACTGGACACACTGCCAGAGGGAACTGGGTTCCTTCCTGCCAGCTGCGGTGGCCACTGGCCTGTGGTGACAAGGCCAGGTTAGTGCCAAGTAATAGAGTAAGTGAGCAAGGACCACATTCCTGACTCTCATCAGATGTCACAGTCGCACCAGAGCCACTGGGATCTGATTTAGGGGCTTCCTCCCTAAACCACCCCTTCAGACAGCCCTGCTCTGAGCATTGCAGCAAGCACGGCAGAGGTGGTGGCACAGCAGAGGTGATGGCACCCCAAACCATGGTGTTAGGAAAAGAATGGTGGCTTTCTTCTGTTCAGTGTTGGTGGCACCCTGTGCTGATGGACTGGGGCTGCACTGGGGACACCTGGCAGTGCTGGGTAGTGGCTGTGACCCTTGCCAGTCCCTTGCCTGAGCTGACTGTCGAGGAGGAGGAGGAGGAGAGGAGGAGGGTACACTGGGCAACAGAGGACCCTCATGGCTCCTCCCAGGATGAAGGCAGCGTGAGTTGTACAGCACAGAAATGACAAGATTAGGGTCTTTCTTACACCTCTGCTGGTCCAAACTGGGTGATAAATGAAGAACTTTGCTATCCTCTGCCTCTAAAGAACTGTCCATGTTGCAGGGTGAGCACATGTCCCTGTCACCCCCTCTGTCACTTGTCCAGCTCCTTGCTCTCCAGCCATACAGCGTGTCTGGAGTCCTGGGASCGTGTCCAAGCTCCAGTACTGACCACTGGCAGGCAGCACTTTCAGGAGTGCCCTCCAGCACAGCACTGCTGTGTGCAACGATGTGACAGCTCATGTGCATTCTCACAGCTCATGGGACACATCCCTGGTGGCCTCAGGGACTCTGGAGCTGCGGGCACAAACCCCCAGCGCTGTGCTGGTGTGGATCCAGCTGGTGCAGGGCAGTGTGGTGGCACTGGCAGTGACACTCACCTGTAGTTGGTGCTTTTGATGGGAGCCCACGTGTATGTCCGGAACACCTCGTCGATGTATTGCTGCGGGTCAGAGGGAGCCAGTCAGGCCTGGGTGGTGCCAGGACTCTGCTGGCACGGTGACACAGGGCCCTGGCTCGCAGTTGTGTGCCAGACACAGCCCTGATCCCCACTGCTGGCTCGGGGTGCTCAGCATAGTGAGTTTCAGCCGTGCCCCCCTTCCCCTGCAGTGTTACCTCGTCCAGGGATTTGATGAGGGTCTTGATGAACCTCTGCCCGTCATTGCCATCAATCATGCTTCTCCGGATCTGTGTGACACAGAGGAGGCAACTGAGGGCCACAGAGCCCAGCCACGCACGTGTGGGCACCTGCCCCAGTGGGGTGGCACTRAGGGCCTGGGGAGGGTCATCATGCTGGCACCCAGGGGACAGTGGCYCAGCTCCTGTCCCCACTCTGTCCCATGGGAGCTGTGTTGGGGCCTGAGGATGAGGACGAGGCACTCCCCAGGGCAGGCTGGAGGGGCTGAGTTCCCTTTCCAACTGCAGATGAGGGGGCCRGCCTGTGCCCCAAAAGCTGCCCTAGGTCTGCTCACCTCCTCCTTGTTTTCATCCTCCAGCTCAGCATCCAGGAAGTCCAGCGTCACCGGCTCACGGAAATTGATGATCTGCAGGAAGAAAGGGAGAGCCGGGGCAGGCTCAGAACTGCAGTTGCTGGAGTCCAAATTGAGCACAAATCCTGCAAKTTACTCCTAAGGACCCTGGGAAGCCACGTGTCCCTCAGGGCCTGGCTAATCCCCAGGGCTGCCGCCCCTTGGGCCCCCTCACCTGGGGCTGCAGGTTGGGGTGCAGCAGCACGTAGCCGTTGAGGTCGATGGCGAAGACGTAGCCGTTGGCCCCCAGCTGCGGGACAGAAGGAGGGGTCAGGCTGAAATGGTGGCTCTGTGACGTGTCACACTGTGCAGGTGTGGTCACCCTGACCTCTGCAGGCAGAGCCCACCCCATGTCACCCCCGGGCTCAGCCTGTTCTGTCCATTTCTGTTCTCAGGACAACACAACCTCTCACCCCAGGGACGAGAGTTTGGCTCTGGATTTCTCCACTGCTCCTTTTCCAGGCCTGTGAGGTTTATTTGCTGCTGACCACAGCTCTGGGTCCCAGAGCATCACCCAGCTTTGATCCCTGCTCTCCTGCCTGCCCCAGTCCCTGCGTGCAGCCATGGCTCCTGCTAGGTGCCAGTGCTGCTGGAGGAGCTATGGAGTGCTGGGGCACAGCCTGGGGCTCCCACCAGAGGGATTCACACCAGATCAGGCAGTGCAGGGCAGGGACAGAGGARAAGGGGCCCCCACGCACGTTGTAACGCGGTGTCAGCCTCTTGATGTCGTTGAGAGCCACATCGATCCCCATCACGCCCAGGATGAGCTGGTTCTGGAAGGAAACGYAGGGAGGGAGGTGGGTGGGAGCAGGGCTGTCACCTGCCACCACCAGCATGGGGACAGGGAAACAGCAGGATGGACCTCATCTCCCTCTGGGGACATGTGGGTCAGATTTGGACACTGCAGGGGCACAGGKTGGGATGTACCAGCCCCCCAGCAGCCCCCATGGGACACTGCACCCACCAGGGAATTGCAGCTGTCAGCTGTCCCCCCCTGAACCATGAGAAGGAGCCAAGGCCACTTTGGATCCTGGGGCTGGAAGTCACCCCTGGTGTCACCCCAGGGAGGGGGTGCRGAGCAGGCAGCACTCCAGGGATGCCCATGTCCCCCCTGCAGCAACGCACCCATCGCCAGGGCACCCTCCCCACCCCACAGCAGCCCCACACCAGCGTTCCCAGTGCAGCCAGGTTCCCAGCAGTGTCTCCTACCTTCCTGTCACTGCTGTCCTCTGTCAGGTTGAACACRGGCAGCGTCCCTGTCACCACCAGGCCCAGCCCCTGCACAAGCACACAGTGATGTCCCACAGCCCCTCATGGCCTCAGGACCCAGGGCTGGGGCRAGCAGCACAGAGGGGTTACCCCCCTGACCAGGGAGATGGGGCATGTCCTGTGCAGGAYCCTGGGGCCGGTGTCCCCACCCACATGCCCCTCGGGGCTGTGTGGGACCCAGGGGTGGGGGTCTCCCTCCTTGCCCCCCAGAGCTGGGGGGTCCTTACCAGGGCATCCTGGTAGACATTGGTCCACTGAACCTGCTTGGCTCGGTTCCCAGCCAGAACCATGGGTCTGCCCAGAACATCCAGGTACTCCTGCAAGGACACAGGCCGGGAAAGGATGATGAGGGAGCCAGATGTCTCCTTGCTCCAGTCYGGTGACACCCTTGTCCCTATGCACACCCCAGGGAATATTGATGGGATGAAGCCCCCAGCTGAGCTAGGGGAGGGGGCTTGGCAGCCCCCAGCCAGGGGCACTGGCTCCAGCTGGGACCCCAACAGGCCCACGAAGATGCAGACAAGGTGCTGCTCACCAGTGGCYATGTTCCCCAAGCAGCACTGGCCAGAGGCCTCCAGCTCCCTGCCACTACCAGGGCTGAGGTTGCTCCATCATGCCTGGACCATGTTATTRTTGCCTCTCTGGCTACTGCCAGCCTTTTGGGATCATCCCTGGGGCAGGTTTCCCTTCTCCTGTCTCACCTTGCCAAGCAAAGATCTCTGGGCAGGGAGGCAGCCCCTGTGCCACCAATGCCAGTCCTGCCCTGAGGGTCTGCCCTGCCTGGGGACCCTCATCACCTGCCCTCATGGCACTTCATGCACATTTGATAAAGAAAAGGGGCAGAAAAGGGGGAGTGAGATGGGGAGTGAGGCACACATGACTGGCTCTGCTGGGCATGGCTGTGCCCACGCTCAGCTCTGCTCTGCGCTGATTAACGCCTGATGTTTCATAATTAGTCACTCAAAAGGCAGCAGGTCCATGGGGAGCTGCAGAAGATGAATTACTTATTTCAAYAGCGCAGGGCCTGGCTGAGGGCTCAGCTCGGCTCCCCAGCGTGCTGCCACGCTCTCTGCCAGCCTGTGGGCTCTCCCCAGTGGGGCTGGGGCTGYCCTRAACTTGTCCCCAGRTGGGGCACCYSGRAGGGCTCTGCCTRCCTGGCCCCYGGCCGTACCTGCGTGTTGATGCGGATGGCGCCGATGGAGGGGATTTCAAAGTAGTAACCTTGGAAAAGAAAGAGAGAGGCAGCTGGAGATGCAGCTGTCCAGCAGTCTGGCTGTCCTGCTGCCCATCCCTGCAGGGCTGCAGCCAGTGCTTTGCTGGTGGCACACGCTGGAGCTGAGGGCTGAGCCTGGCTGTCCCCCATGCCCGCTGGTGCCAGCCCCACTCACCTTTGTTGGCACAGGCCATCCACTGCAGCGGGGTCACGTCGTAGTTGTGCTGCCCCACAGAGAAGGTGAAGACCCGCACCTGTGGCAGAGCGTGGCACTCAGGGCCATCCACTGGGCACCATTGTTTTCCACACCCGGTGCTCCCAGCCCATGACGACGTCCCCAGGGACAGTGTGGCATTGCCTGTCATGGCCCACGGAGTGTGTGCARGGGGACAGAAGAGCCCTGCAAGTGCTGGGTCTCCTGGCCCTGGCCAGTCCTGTCCTGTCCCTGTGTTGGTTCAAGCTACCCACCCTGGTGGTCCTTGCTCTGGGCTGTCACTGCTCCCAGAGTGGTCTGTGCTCTCTGAGGGTGAGACATGGGCCACAAGCCCCCCACCCCACAGGTTTCCAGCTACTTGGTAGCAATGGGGACCTTCCTGCTGGTTTGTCTGTCAGCCAGCAGCCCTGTCCCCATGCTTGGGGTGTGCTCCCCTCGGGACCAGCACTCAGAGAGTCCCCCATTCCCTCCCCAGCACCCCACAGTGTGCTGGTCCCACACCTCCTTCACAGGAAGGTGGGAGCCAGCCACAAACCCATTACCAGGGCAGGAGCAGGCTGTTGAGGGGAGGATGGGAGTAGGCAAATGGAGCAGAAGCCAGCAATGGAGCCGGAGCAGCCATGTCCCTCCCTGGTGTGCAGCCCCAGCCTGGCACACACCCACAGCCTCTCACCGTCTTGTTGGGCCAGTTGTACTTCTCAAAGACATCCTGCACTCGGTCCTCGCCGCCRTCCGTGAACATCATGATCATCTTGTTGCAGTTGGCACGTGTGATGTTGGACTGTGGGCAGACACAGCACCTGAGGCCACACTGGAGCCAGCAGTGCTGGGCACAGGGCTGGACGCAGCCAGGAGGGCAGGGCCCTGCCCATTCCAGCCCATCCCATTTCTCCAGGGTGAGGGTGACTGGGGTGAATGGGCAGGAGGGACGCTGTCAGTGGGGAATGATGTTGTGGCTAGTGCCACTTGGCACCTAATAGCACCGTTCATCTTTATTTTGCCTTTGACACAGCATCTGGTTGGGTCTGGCCCCTCCACCCMGCCCCGCTAACTTTTAATAACCCAGAGGGAGCAGCACCAGCAAAACCTTGGTACAGCATGCCAGGAGATGGGATGTCTCCCCCAGCAGAGAAGGAGAACAGGGAGCCCYCTGCACAGTGAGGCTCCAGGCACASGGCAGCAGCCGGGCACTCGGAGGTGTCCCATTGTCCCCAGCACCCACAGGAGCACCCCGTCCCCAGCCCAGCCCCCAGCTCACGTTCTGCAGCTGGTCGAAGGCGTACTCAAAGCCAGCCTTGTAGTCAGTGGTGCCCTTGGCCACCATGCCCTGCACGTCCTCCTTGAACACCTTCTTGTTCCGGATGTTGGCCTGCACCAGGTGCTTGAAGCAYGACACCGGCTTCGCCTTTTCATTGAACTGGGAGGGGAAATGGAGGGGAGTGGGTCACACAGAGGGGTGGGCAGACACAGCAGGCACAAGCCACCCATCACACTCAGCTCTCATGGGCAGGAGGTGAGCTGGCTGTGTCCCAGATCCCAGGGAGGGCTGGTGCTGAGGCTGAAGCTCGTCTTGGCACAAATCCAGCACTGTGCTGTGCGGTGTGGGTGCTGCAGTGGGTGCTGGCAGCGCAGGGCTTGCCTGCACCCTCACTTCTGTGGGACACCCTAGCGTGTGCAAGCAGCTGTGCTGTGCCCTCACTGCCTCTCATGGCTTCRTTTACCGGCAATGGGGCCCATTCATTAGGGGAGTGGCAATCCAGCTAACGGAGCCAGGCCAGACATGTTCATTAGTGCCATCCTGCTGGTGCCCAGACGGAAGGGCCAGCACGGACTGAGCACCCAGCAACGTGCAGATCATGAGCTGGTGACACAGCCATGGGGTGCAAGGTGTCAGTGGCTGGTGATGGACATGAGGTGGCTCGCTGGGATTGCTCAGGAACATCTCTGCCAAATGCCCCATCATGGGGGCAGCTTTTGTGTGCTGAGCCCYGAGCCTTTTCCTTGCTGATGTGCTGGTGGGTGGTTAAGAAGACAAAAAATGGTATTTGTGTCTGCAGAGGCCTTAGCCAAGTGGGTGTGGGGGCAAAGGGCTCCTGTGCTGGGGAGCTGGGAGGTGCCTGGGGACACAGCCCTTCCACTTGCCCCACGGCACTCACCGAGGCCACGTTGACATAGTCATCGTCTGAGAGTGTGTCCAGCATCTCATAGACCGAGGTTTTCATCAGCTTGAGGGTGAGGCCGCTCACACTGCCACTCCTGCAGGAGACAAGGGTGCTGAGGGTTTGGCAACGAGGGAGCACAGGGCTCCCTGCCCGTGCTGTCCCACACAGCCTTCCCATCGCCACTGTGGGGACAGTGGCACCTTGGCGAGCTGTGTCACCATCCTGGCCTGTCTAAGCCCAGCCAGGACCCCCCTGTGTACTCACACATCCACAATGATGACCATGTCCTTTGGGGAGGAGGCACCTTGGATGTACCTGTGGGGTACAGAGTGGGGTCAGCAGGGTGGACTCATTTTGGGGGGACCCTGACTCTGGGCGCAGTCCAAGAGCAAAGCCCTGCCCAGGCACTGGGAAGCCATGCTGGCAGCCCCAGGGCTGCGGTGRCCCTGTGCAAGGAGCAGGGACAAGGTGGCAGTGGGCAGGCAGAGGCGAGGACACGGCTCCTGTGGCAYAGCACAGCAGACGGCCAGCGCCCGCCGCTCCGCACTGTGTCAGCCTAATGAGCTCTAAATGCTAAACTCTTCCATCATCACAGGCCCTTTCCTGCGTGCTGATTATGCTGACACACACATCCATATTAAGATGCTATTTACCCCCCTGGTAGCTTCAAAGGCCAGGCTGATTAGGTTATTTTTAGCTATGAGGAGGAAAAATAATAACACTACGTAAATCTTTCCCTCTGAAAACAATTAGGGAACCCTTCCTCACCCCTCAGAGCACCCGGTCCTGCTCCCAGCCCTGCTGTGCCATGCTGTTGGGAGGGGGCTGGCACTGTGCTCAGCACCCATCCCATACACAGCCCTGCCTCACCATCCCATTGTATGAGGTCTGATCCTGCCRTGGCTGAAGGCCAAGGGAGCCTCATTATTGGCCTGATCAGGATCAGGCCTTGTGTGAATTAATTAGTGTGTTATTAGTATCAATTACTCACCACTACTGGGGAGGGCTGGGGAAGGGGCAGGCTGTGATTGTTAATCCCAGGGCCTGATGTTCCCTAATTAGGAGTGATTACCCGGYGGGTGCAGGATGCTGGCACACGGGGCCCTCCTGACATGGGTGCAGCACCTTCCTCTGGTGCTGGGGTGCAGGATGGGCAGGTGCCCACGGGCCTCCTCCTTGCCGGGCCGGGCTGTCGGTGCGGCACACAGACCGACTAAGATGCTGCCCGTAATGGGTGGTGGCAGCGCATCCATCTCCGGCTGCCCGGCTCAGATGAATACCCTGGGCTCGGCAGGAGATGGCTGTGGTTAATGGGGCCATTCATCAAGGGAGGGGAACGCTGCCAAGTGGTGCCTGTGGCCCCACGGCTGCCGGCAGGATCGTGGCCCTGGAGCAGTGAAGGTCCTGTGTGGGACCCCAGGAGAGGACCCCAAACAGGGGGGTCCCCAGAGGGTGCTGTCCCTAGTACAAAGGGTGCTGCTTCTCCTCCAYGGCTGGGTGGCAAGCCTGGTTAGTGGGCAGGGAGCTAGGCTAGCTGGGCTCAAAAGCCCCCATACACATCAGCAGCCCCTGCCTCAAAACAGCCTTCCAGTCCCAGATCTGCAATAACCTGTACAGACACCCTGGCGGGGAACAGTTAATAATTAATGTGGAGCAATCAAAAGCAATTAACCATAGGAGCAGGGCCATTAATTTTCTGACAAGGAGAGGGGGCAGCTCCTGATTTGGGCAGGGGGATGATCCCTTGGGATGCAGGGCTCCCATGGCATATGCCAGAGGCCTGTGCCTGCTCCATGATGCACTTTAAAGCAGCAGTGTGGGCAGGATGCAGCTGTACTCCCCCAGCTCCAGCTGATAACCAGCACTGCCATACCAGCACCTCCAGCTGGGCTAAGGGGAGCCCATTCAATCCCATGTCCCTTGGTGTGGGCTAAATGGCTGCTCAGCTATTGCTGAGCCACAGCCTGCTGCTGCCTGCCCGTTCCTGTCCCTATCCTGCCAGCCCRTGGTTTCCAAGCTAGGTGTTTTTATTTGGATGGGGATGCTGGCCAGGACTCAGGGCTGGCAGCCATGGCTGTGGTTAGGGGGCACAGGGCTCTCTCCACACTTTCATCTGCACCCAAGGATTTATCTCTCAATCCTGCTCTGCTTTCCCAGGGAGAAGGAGAAAAGGAGCCAAGCAGCAGCACAGCTCAGATGCCCCTGCCGTGTTATGGTGTCCCTTTGCCAATGCTGAAGTGAAATGGAAAGGGAGGGAGCTGACTGCTCCCAGCCAGGACCCGCCTGCCCACGCAGCACCCCCTTACCAGGGCCGCCGGCGCACGTCGTACAGGTCGATCTTATTGGGGGCTCTCCATGGGGTGGCTGTGGGGAGAAGGCAGGCGGTGAGCAAGGCAGGGCTGTCCTGGSATGGGGCCAGGGGACATGGGGACAGGGCAGAGGGATGCCCAGGGCTGAGGAAGCAGCAGGCTCTGGTAGGAAGCTCTCATCAATGGGTTCTGGCAAAGTACAGTTACACGTGCCAGACAGCCCCCAGGGGTGCCCATCCACACCTAACAGTGAGAAGGGCCTTGGCTGCCCTTGTCACAGCCCCCTGCCCCACAGCCTCCCCTGCCCCACAGCCCCCTGCCCCACAGCCCCCCTGTCACACAGCCCCCTGTCACACAGTCCCCTGTCACACACCGGGGTAGTAGCGGGTGACGCCGGTGGCGCTGCCGAACACCTGCCAGAGCAGGGAGGGATCCTCCTTGCGGTTTTCGATGAACACGTCCTCCAGCGCCTGTGTCCAGTTCAGCTCGTTGAGGATGACGGTGGCTGCRGGACAGAGACAGGGGTGGCTGTGTGGGTGGAGGGAGCCGTGGAGCTGGGGGTGGGCTCAGTGGTGATGGCACTGTGGGGTGGTGTCCCCAAGTGACGGCAGGGAGGGACAGCTGTGTCCCCTCTGCCTCTTCCCAAGAAGCCCACAGGGGCTTTGCAGCTTCTTCTACATCCCCCCAACCCCTGCATCCACAGGGCTCCAGCACCACCCTGCTGTGCCTTGTCCCCAGAGAAACGAGCCACCCTTCAGCGCTCCCCAGAGTGCTCACTGTCCCCATCTGCTCTGGGGCAGACACAGCCATCACTGGGGACAGCTGGCCTGCCATCTCTCCCCCTTCACAGCAAAACATCCTGTGCCAGCCTCACTCCCTGGGGACAGCCACCAGCTGGGAAACCCACGGCTCGTGTCCCCATGGGCTGTGCAGAGCCTCTCAGGCCCACTCTGCATTCCCACTGGCCCTGCACCTGACACAAAAGCAATTAAGATGCTGGCAAACAGCAGTTTTAAATTATTCAGCTATTAAAGCAAAAGATAAGCTGCCGGCAGCCCCAGCCCGTGATTAATCAAGGGGGGCTGGCAGAGCGCGGGGGGGTTGGTGTGGCATGTCATGCACRGGGCTGGCTGGCTGGCAGGGAGCTGGGATGGCACTCCCTGTGCTCACAGGGACTCCAAATGCTGCGGGCACCCCAAGCCCTGACCAGGCCAGGAGAATCCCTACAATGAGTACTGGTGCAGGACTGCAGCATGGAGGAGGCAGTGGTGGGTGCCACTGCAGGAGCAAGGAGCCAGCAGCACCCTGAGACCAGGCACTGATTCYTCCTGGGGGACCCTCAATGCGTTTTTGGGGCACAAGGACACCCAGGAGCACCCCATCTCTTTGGCATTGGGCAAAACAACCCAACACAGTGCTGCAGGGGAGCCAGTGTGCATTTGAGGAGTATATTTAGCTCTCCTAAGGCTTCCTCCCACACTTGTCCCTCCTGGAAACACCATCATCACCTGTCCAAGCCTTCACCACRGTCCTGAGACATTGGTGGGATGTGGATATGTTTCACCCAGGGTGAACAAATCCTAAATCCCTCCAACTCAGCACAACTGCTGAAGAATTGTCCTTCCCTCAGGCAGCTGTGCCTTCAAACCATGATTTACTCTATCCATATCTTCCCWGCCATTCCTCAGCACTGTGCCCACACACAGTGCTGTTATCTGGGCACTTAGGATGATTTCTTGTTTGGCTCTGCCACAGGATGTGTTTTTTCCCAGGAGAAGTGGCTATGAGCTGGCTGCCTAGAACAGCCCTGGGCAGTGCTGCCAGCCTCAGCCAGACATTGGTCTGGGCCCTGACACGGCTGTGGGCATCCCTGGCAGCACCTACACCCCCAGACCCTCGGGGCCCATCAGCCACACCATTGCTTGTACTGAATGCAACTCCTATACCCTTCCAGTGCTCAAACACAGCCCATTATCTCTGAGCACAAATGCAGCCCCTRCACCTTCCCTGGACATGAATGTAGCCCCCAGTTCATCCCTGTGAGCAAATACAGCTCCTACACTCCTCATGTTCAGAGTGATGAAGCTGTATCCATGGTTGGGATGGCTTCTGTCCCCCTCAGTCGAGGCCAGAGCTGCCAGCCCCATTGGTCACATCCCCATCCCTGTCCCCATTTCGTCCCTGTCCCCGTCAGAGTAAGCCTGGCCCCGCCCTGCCCGCGAGCGATTGCAGATTTAATTAAAAACGGCACAGTAAATAAAACACATATAGGATGTAATTTGTGTGTGCAGCGAGGGGTGACGGCGGCGGGCGTCGCCGCAGGGTTTAATTAGCGTGCCAGGCAGCGATAGCGCCTCTCCGCCGGTGCCACCGGGACACGCTCCCGCCCCCAGCGCTGCGGGGACACGCCACGCTCACTGGTGTCCCTGGCAGGACGGGGTGCCCCGTGCCCTCACCCTRCAGCTCTCTCCGTGGAGCAGCAGCTGCGGACCCTTCCCAGCTCCCTGCATTTCTGGAGCACCCTGGTGTGGCCAGACACGGCTGATTCCCGTGCCCACACTCTGTGCCTGTGGCTGCAGCCCTTTCCCTGCCTGCTGAGGGGCATGGGGAGGGTGTCCCTGCACTGTGACCCCCRTCCTCATCCCTCTCTGAGCAGCTGTGAGTCGCTGGAGCACGCTGATCTCCAGCCTGCTCCGGTCCCAGGGCTCACTGGGGTGATTTATATGGCCGTGGCGGGGCTCCAGCCGTGGCATCGGCTGGCGAGCGGGGCTGAGGAGGAACGAATATTTCATCCAGAGCAGCCCACCCGGCTCGCATGATGTGCTTCATTAGCTGCCTGCCCTGCGCTAGCTGGGTAATAAAACTAATTGCAAATCTCTAATACACCGCTGTCTCTGAAATCACCGCACCGCTCTGAGCACAGCCGTGCCCGTAACGAGCCGGCACCGGGAACGCTCCGTTCGGGGCAGGAACGTGAGCTCGGCCCCCATCGCCACCCAGGAGACCCCAGCAAGTGCCACTGAAACAAAGAGGGGTGGGGACAGTGCCCTGGGTGCTGTGGGGCAGTTGGTGATGCCCATGAGAGCAGGGGCTGAGGCTGGGCACACGATGACGGCCGGCGGGTGCCGGAGGATGCCCTCCAGCCGGGAGCGGTTCCCGCTCGGTGCCGAGCAGCCACTAGAGGGAAATGGAGACCGACTGTCACCGTGTGCCACCGCAGCAGGGCGAGGTACTGGAGACATCGGAGAGCTCAGGGACCGTCACGCCGCTCGCTGGGGACTGAAGCTGGTGCGGCACATCCTGTCCCATCTGCCCATCCCTCTCTCCCTGTCCCCTCCAGGGCTGGCCCACCATCCCCGTTTCGGGAGCAGCCTGTGCCCTCCGGCAGCCACAGGAGCACAGCCGCAGGGCTGACACCTCCTGCACGTCCTGGCAGCAGGGGCTGCCCCRGGGTGGCATCACACTGCCCTGCAGTCACCCTTGGCTGCCTTCCTGCAGGACTGCAGCCGCTTTTTTTTCCCCCTTTCCTGACCTCAGCCCCGAACAGACTGAAGACAGGCAGCACCCCTGTTTTGCCCTCTCCTACARCCCAGCCATATCTCACTCCCTTCTACAAGCAGATGGGTGCTGCCTCTGTAATTGCTCCTGCACAGAGCTGCTCCATCCCTCTAAACAYCTCTGGTGCCTGCTTGGAGCCTCCTCGAGCTTTGCTGGGCCCTTCTGCAGGCAGCACCAGTGCCATGTGGGCAGAACTGTGCCATAAACACTACCTCTCCTCTGCTCCCCACCCCTTCCCCAATAACTCTTAATCCCTGATCTGCCTATTTTGCTTGTGTTGAGCTCTTGAGAGTCCCTGGGGAGGGACACATYGTCACTTCTGTCCTGATATGGTGATTCTGCCTCCTTTTAAGGCTGAGAGCCAGAGTTCCCTGGTGCCACCAGGGACCCAGTTGAGCACCTCGATGTGATGGTCCCTGGGGCTGCAGTGCACCAGGCAGGAGAGCTGGGTGCCCAGCCAAGACAGCGTGAATTGAAAAGGGTGAGGAGGGGCACTCACAGCCTTTGTAGATGTCCGTGGGGATCTGCACRGCAGCGTAGGAATAGTTAACCTTGGTCTTGAAGTTGTCATCATCAGTGAACTCCAGCTTCAAGGAGTTGGACTTCTCCCTCTCGATCTCCTCTCCATCAGGATCCTCCTGGGGAAGGAGCAGAGCACATGGGGTCACCCAGCATTCCAGTCCCAGATGGACACTGGGAATTGCCACCACCTGAAGCCCATCTCCAAACGTTCCCTGGGGCAGACCAGCCCTGCTGGCTCTYGTGTGGATTTGGCCTGCAGGCTGTGCCAGTGCTGGTGGCACAGGGGAGCAGGTGCCAGGAGCGGGTGGGCATGAAGGCAAGCAGCTACTCCTCGCCTCTCCAGCTTTGGTAGCACAGCAGGTATTAAATCAGACATTTAAAAAAAWKRAAAAAAAAAATCAAAAAAGGCCTTGAAAATCAATTAGCAGCAAAAGGCAACTATCAAAGAGCAAATTAAAACGGAGTGCAGCTTAGCACTCTGTCAATAAGCAATGCAAACAATATTTAATTATGGTGGAGAGACGGCAAATTCCCTACTGCTGGTGCTGGAATGCACTCCCTCACCTTCCCAGCCTTCCTCTCCATTCCCCAGCCCTGCTGCCAGCCTGGCACTGAGGGTGAAATTCCTCTGGAATGGCAGGCATGGCTGAGCTGGTGCAGGCAGAGCTGCTGGGTGGCTGCAGACAAGGGACAGGGTGGGAGCTGACACGTGAGGCCACGTGGGGAAGGGGGAGAATGGGGGTGGACTCACCACAGAGGTGGAGAAATCGCCTCTGCCACCCCACTGGGAGCAAAGAAACCCAGGAGCAGGTGCTAGCTCTGAGCTGCCCATCCAGACCACGAGCCCAGCAACTGGGGAAGGCTGTCTGCAGCCAGCTGAGAGATGCTCAGGGTAGGAAGGAGGGAGAGGAGGATGCTGCAGCACCTGCTCTTTGTGCTCCTGGAGCTACACCCCTGCTGAAGAGGGGCAGAGGCACAGAGCTGCCTGCCCCATCCACGGGCAGGAACAGGACATAGTGCCAAGCCCAAGTGGGGCACAGGACAACTCTGTTCACCTTCCCCTCTGTCTTCCTCCCCATTTTCCTCACAGATGACATGGAGAAATATCACCTCCCCTGCAACAGCTTCAGCCGGCCACTAAGGTGGTGACATTCCCATGACATTGAGAGGGGTGGCCAAACCATTCGCCACAGCTTGGGAGAGTAACAGGATTGATATGCAAGGTTTGGGCTTTAATTCCAGCCGATGGATTGTGAGTGTAAACACGCTGCCCAGCCGACCCCGGTGCGGGGGCTCCAGCTGCCCAGAGAGATGCTGAACTCAATTACAGCTGCAGTAGCCAAACAGGAGGCAGGCAGGGACGGTTCCCAACTCCCTGCAGCCACGTCTCCGAGATCAAAATCCAGATTATGCTCTCAATTTCACGTAAATTGGGAGAAAAGGCACAAAACTGACTGCTGGAGCCCCTGCAAAGCCGCGATGCTGCACAGAGCAGATCCGACCCCAAGCCTGCCGTTCATGGGGGGCTCCGGTCTCTGGGGTAAAACACACAATAGTTCAACCCTGCAAACCTCCCCGAGTGCCAGACAGTGATACAGAGGTGCCTGCTGAAAACAGGCTTTGGGATAAAGCTGTGGCCTGAGGGCATCTGCAGCACCGAAAACTCTGCTTTGACACTAAACCCTTTTTTACCTCAGCCCAGCAAATTCCCGGTGACAGCTCCCCATCCCTCCCCATCTCAGATCAGCAGGGCACCCTGCCACAGTCCATCCACTGCCCCTGCCACCACCAGCAGCTGGAAAATCCATCCCTCTCTCTTCCCCCCACGCTGGCATGGCTATTCCCCACTTCATCGGAGCTGGAACTACTGTATGTAATTACTGCTCCTGTGTTTATCATTATTCCGTGATCTCACCCACTTCTGAGGGGCTAATTTGTATGCTGCCAGGTTCGGCGCTGTCTGGCTGCTCTCATTCATGGAGCTGTAAAGAGGCACATGTATAGATCTCGGCACAAATATACAGMTATCTATACGTGGGGCACTTCATGTGTCACTGACACCTATATGGCAAACAGAGCTGATGTTATCCCAGCTACGTGTGCCCTTTATCCATAAATCTCCCAACCTCAACTGAGTTATTTCTGTTCAAGCCAGGCTGAATTTGGCCCCTGAAAGGGGGTAATTTTCAGCCACATGAAGGTAGGTGAAGCTGTCACTAGCCCAGGAAGGGAGGGAAACATTTGGGATACAAAGAGACACCTTGGGAAGGCTGAGGGAAAAAATTCTGTATTAAATTTAAATTAGAGCAAAGCAGATGATTCAAGTTTTCCTGAATTYACATCGGTTTAACTGTGAGCATCTCGGCAGGCCCCCAGCCAGATCTTGCAGCATTCCTCATCATTACATTTCAAAAGAACTTGGAAACATCTATTTATCTGTTACAGTATGTACAACGTAACACAAATAGATGCTACAGTTTGAATATATTATTTGCTACACACCATTAGAAACCGACTGCACGGCAATATATCAATATGATACGTATTTACTGCTTCAGCAAGAAGTCATCACGCCCTGAGAGCTTTTGCCATCTCCAGTGCTTTAGCAGCTGGGCTGTCATTCACATTTTCTCTTCAGTCTCCCGAAATGACAAAACCCAGAGATCCCCCAACACCTGGTGAGCAGCAGCAGCAGCAGCACCCAACAGCTTTATTGGAGGATGCCACGCTCTGGGCAAGTGCCTGGTGCTGGCTGAGGAGCCAGCCTRCCCAGGGGCACCAGGATTATCGGGGTGCCCTGGTTTGGAGCTGTGCATGGAGCCGGGGATGTGACCTGGCGCAGCAGCGATGCCTCGTCCCCGCAGCTCCCGCAGATGCGAACACCCCTGTGAGATGTTCGCTGCTCATCTCCATGGGAACGAGCCATCACAGCTAATGACGGCTGCTTAAATGGCAGCCCCGACACAAACAGGGCTGATCCGGACACAGCATCCCGGCAGCATCCCCTGGGCTGCCCCACACAGCCTGATCGGGAACACACCGCCCCGAGATCCCAGCACGTCCCTTTCAATCTCCCAGGGGCACCCATCCATGCCAAGGCTGTAAAGGCCAGCGAAATATTCATATCAACACGCTGTGATTGTGCTAATAATGGATAGAAATGCCAGCCCCCAACACATGGCTGAGAAACTCCAGGCCTGTGCAGGAGAGTCTTCCTTTCTCCTTAAATATATCAGTTTTTCCTGAAATGCGGTAATTTAATGCCAAGGAGGGAGATGGTGTGTTCTCCAGCCACATTCCTGCTTTTACAGCAGCCCAGGTTATAAATAACAATCAGCCTCTCCCGTCAGCCTGCTCCCCTATCCCCTTTCGCTTTTTTTAATCTTTGCCAAAGGTACTGTTTAGAGATCTTTCTAGACCATTTATTTTTAAATTACCAGCCAGAGGAGAGAAGTAAAAAAAAAAAAAAAAA